GTGTGTGTGTGTGTGTGTGTGTGTGTGTGTGAGAGAGCATGTGCGTGTGCGAGTGAGAGAGCGTGTGTGAGTGAGTGCGTGAGTGAGTGAGTGTGTGTATGTATGTGTGTGTGTGTCTGAGTGAGTGAGTGAGAGTGTGTGTGTACCTGTGTGTCTGGCAGCTCTTCGGTGATCGTGTGAATGCGCCACTGCGGCTGCAGCAGGAGGGCGGGGCTACTGAGCTGTGTGACTCCACCCCTCGCTGAAACCACCTTGGCTTTTAACACACTCACATCCTGAGAGAGAGACAGATGTTAAAAGACAGAACTGTGATTGACAGCTGTACCTGTCAGTCAGAAGGTCTCTTCCTGTCAAAGTGGGCGGTTCTTGCTCAGAGTAAACAGACTTTATGCTGATAGTCAGACATCAGACTCTGAGAGACGATGAAGCGGAGTGTGTGTGTGTGTGTGTGTGTGTGTGTGTGTGTGTGGTACCTCAGTGTTGCGTGCGATTAATCTGTACACACATCCAGGATGAAGGACGGGGAACCAGCGAACACACGAACCCATGAAGTGCAGCTCAATCTGCAAAACACACAGATTCACATTTCAATCCCATCAGCCTCTTCTAAACTAGACTGACTCATACGTTCTGCTGTTACTCTCAGCTAATGATCTGTTATCAGGTCTGTAATACTCGAAAGAGTCTCCAAAAACCAGATGATCTAAATTTAGCTAGACTTGCTTGCTATTTACCTTTACATAATAATAATAATTATACATATAATAAAACATTAATAGACTGTGATTGACAGCTGTACCTGTCAGTCAGAAGGTCTCTTCCTGTCAAAGTGGGCGGTTCTTGCTCGGAGTAAACAGACTTTATGCTGATAGTCAGACATCAGACTCTGAGAGACGATGAAGCGGAGTGTGTGTGTGTGTGTGTGTGTGTGTGGTACCTCAGTGTTGCGTGCGATTAATCTGTACACACATCCAGGATGAAGGACGGGGAACCAGCGAACACACGAACCCATGAAGTGCAGCTCAATCTGCAAAACACACAGATTCACATTTCAATCCCATCAGCCTCTTCTAAACTAGACTGACTCATACGTTCTGCTGTTACTCTCAGCTAATGATCTGTTATCAGGTCTGTAATACTCGAAAGAGTCTCCAAAAACCAGATGATCTAAATTTAGCTAGACTTGCTTGCTATTTACCTTTACATAATAATAATAATTATACATATAATAAAACATTAATAGAACATCATGGAACATGATCTTTACTTAATATCCTAATGATTTTTGGCATAAAAGAAAAATGTATAATTTTGACCCATACAATGTATTATTGGCTATTGCTACAAATATACCCGTGCTACTTATGCTCCAGGGACACACATGTTCTAAAGATGCCAGCTGGACTCTCAGTGTTTGATGGTGTGCTGCTGACCTTCTGAGTGTCTCGGTGTCGCTCGTGCTCCTGCGTCCGGTGGTTTTTGGGGTCGTGGCTCCAGCGCTGAGCGTCTCCCAGACACACGGCTCTGCAGACGAAGCCGTTCTGCAGCGTCACGCCCTGCTTGGACTCCAGTCTGAGCAGCAAACTCACGCACGCCGCAGGGGTCAGAGGTCGCTCAGGCACTCTGGGTCTCTTAGCGCTCTCTCGGTCTGTCTGTCTGTCCTCCATCAGACAGCGGCTCATGGCAGCAGACGGACTGATGAGGGTCAGATCATCCACACACAGCTGAAGATAAACCCTGCAAACACACACACACACACACACCTGTATAAAGATCTGTCAGGTTCCTTTAACAGAAGTTTCCCCCCCCCCCCCAAAATTCAGTTTTTTTTGTGTGTTTTTTTTCCAGGTTTAATTTTTCTGGATTACGTTTAAATGTTTACATTCAATTATAGTCATTAAAATTTTTCATTGAAATTAAATAATTCAATTAAATTAATTAAAATCATAAAACGTATACAATTTAACAAAAATAAAAATTTTAGGACCCTATGAAATCCATTTAGTTTTTTTCCTAAATTGCATTATATTTTTTCCAACATAGATTTTTTTTTCTGGATTCAATTTTTTTTTTCATCTTAATTTTTCTGGATTCAAAAATTTTTTTTTTTAATTTAAGTGACCAATTTAGGGTTGAATTTAGGTCCTATTAAATATCTTTTTAAGTTAAATTTTTTCACAAATTCAAAATTTTCAGTGTTTAATTAAATTTGAATTATCAAAAAGCATGCCTAATTAATAGAATTAATAAAATTTTAACAATTTATTAAATTGTTCCCAGGGCTCTAGGAAATGTTTTATTTTTTCCTGAAATTATGTGTATTTATTTTAATCCAATTAAATCTCTTAATATGTTGCAATTATCATAATGACCGTGATTATAATTTTATTATATGTGCTCATTGACAATATACAGTATATTTCATATATGCACTCATACATGTGTATTTGTACCTGTAGAATGTGTGTGTGTGTGTGTGTGTGTGTGAGTGACTGAGTGAGAGAGTGAGTGTATACCTGCAGTGTTTGTGAGTGAGTGAGTGAGTGAGTGACTGAGTGAGAGAGTGAGTGAGTGAATACCTGCAGTGTGTGTGTGTGTGTGTGTGAGTGACTGAGTGAGAGAGTGAGTGTATACCTGCAGTGTTTGTGAGTGAGTGAGTGAGTGAGTGACTGAGTGAGAGAGTGAGTGAGTGAATACCTGCAGTGTGTGTGTGTGTGTGTGTGAGTGACTGAGTGAGAGAGTGAGTGTATACCTGCAGTGTTTGTGAGTGAGTGAGTGAGTGAGTGACTGAGTGAGAGAGTGAGTGAGTGAATACCTGCAGTGTGTGTGTGTGTGTGTGTGAGTGACTGAGTGAGAGAGTGAGTGTATACCTGCAGTGTTTGTGAGTGAGTGAGTGAGTGAGTGACTGAGTGAGAGAGTGAGTGAGTGAATACCTGCAGTGTGTGTGTGTGTGTGTGTGAGTGACTGAGTGAGAGAGTGAGTGTATACCTGCAGTGTTTGTGAGTGAGTGAGTGAGTGAGTGACTGAGTGAGAGAGTGAGTGAGTGAATACCTGCAGTGTGTGTGTGTGTGTGTGTGAGTGACTGAGTGAGAGAGTGAGTGTATACCTGCAGTGTTTGTGAGTGAGTGAGTGAGTGTATACCTGCAGTGTGTGTGTGTGTGTGTGTGAGTGAGTGAGTGAGTGAGTGAGTGAGTGAGTGAGTGAGTGAGTGAGTGAGTGAGTGAGTGAGTGAGTGAGTGAGTGAGTGAGTGAGTGAGTGAGTGAGTGAGTGAGTGAGTGAGTGAGTGAGTGAGTGAGTGAGTGAGTGAGTGAGTGAGTGAGTGAGTGAGTGAGTGAGTGAGTGAGTGAGTGAGTGAGTGAGTGAGTGAGTGAGTGAGTGAGTGAGTGAGTGAGTGAGTGAGTGAGTGAGTGAGTGAGTGAGTGAGTGAGTGAGTGAGTGAGTGAGTGAGTGAGTGAGTGAGTGAGTGAGTGAGTGAGTGAGTGAGTGAGTGAGTGAGTGAGTGAGTGAGTGAGTGAGTGAGTGAGTGAGTGAGAGAGTGAGTGAGTGAATACCTGCAGTGTGTGTGTGTGTGTGTGAGTGACTGAGTGAGAGAGTGAGTGAATACCTGCAGTGTGTGTGTGTGTGTGTGTGAGTGAGTGAGTGAGTGAGTGTATACCTGCAGTGTGTGTGTGTGTGTGTGTGTGAGTGAGTGTGTGTATACCTGCAGTGTTTGTGTGTGTGTGAGTGAGTGAGTGAGTGAGTGTGTATATACCTGCAGTGTTTGTGTGTGTGAGTGAGTGAGTGAGTGAGTGTGTGTGTGTGTGTGTGTGAGAGTGTGTGTGTGTGTGCGTGTGTGTGAGTGAGAGTGTGTGTGAGAGAGAGTGTGTGTGAGAGAGTGAGTGAGTGAGAGTGTGTGTGTGTGTGTGTGTGAGTGAGTGAGTGTACCTGCAGTGTTTGTGTGTGATGTAACTCGGCTGATCCAGGTGTTTCCAGGAAAGGAAATGTGTCTTCATGAACCTCTCCATGACTAATGTACACCGCCGCACACACACTAGACAACCTACACACACACACACACACGTTACATCACCACTCAAGCAATAAGCCATAAGAGCTTCAACCAACACTATGAACAGTGCAAACAAATCTGTTTATATGCAAATAAAAATTCTTGTTTAATTCTTGTTTTTAATCGAGATTTTTTTTTTTTCAGTTTTAAGTTCTTCAGTAAATTTTTTTGTACATTTATTATGTGCTCCAATTATTTTAGTTCTTTAAAATATTTTATAATGGTTTTAATTTCACTATAGTTAGTAATTTTAACACTTCAAAAATAAAACTACTTTGTTTCACTTATATGCCAACAATTTCTAATTTTCATTTAGTTCAAGTTTCTCCATCTAATATTTTTATTTTGCATTATTCCATCTTCATTTCAATTAACAAAAATGCTTTCTAATAGATTTAGTTTAGGTTAACAATAGTAGCAATAGTAGAAGAAGCTGTTTCTCTCTGATATGCTTCATAACAGGGCAGAAAACACACATCTCATGGCTTAATGCTGTATAAAGGACACAAATGCTCAATTATTAATTTAGGTAACATTTTATTTGAAGGTGTCCTTGTTACACAAGTTACGTGTACTTACTATTATAATCACAATAAATTATGCATAATTACATGCAAGTAACCCTAAGCCAAACCCTAATCCTAACCCTAACCATATAGTAAGTACATGTAGTTAATTAATACTACTCAGTACTTAAATGTGTAATTACACTGTAATAAGGACACCTTAAAATAAAGTGCAACCATAATACCTGCAGTGAACACACACGCAGAGACGAGACACACACGCTCTGGCCGACACACACACACTGCCTCCAGTACTGATGCTTGGCTTCCTGAGACACAGAACAGACCAACAAACACCAGATCAAACTTACAGAAAGATCAGAATATAGATTACCGGTACTAATATTTACTCAATTAGGTAGAAAAGCATGAATATTTGTAATACTGTATGTATGTGTGTGTATATATATATATAGAGAGAGAGAGAGAAAAATCTAAATATATACATAAAAATAACAATTATACACACATATGCATTATATATATATATATATTAGTGCTGACAATCGTTAAAAAAAATTTAACTAATTAAATCGCACATTTTTCTGAAATTAAATCGCGATTAATCCCACCTAACATTAAAGTTTTTAAATATACTTTTATATTACAATAATTTCACATTCAATCTTCAAATTAATCTACAAACAACAAAGACAGTATATTTTTTTAATAGTTGTTTAATGGCATCTTTTTTTTATGACTGAAGGCCAGTATCAATGATACTAATACTACTGATGTCTCTATAAAACTGCCCCTCCCCTAATATTTAACCATTGACTAGCCATTCAGCATTACAGTACAATTAAGAGCTATCAATTTGAACATTTATTAGACTTTAAAACATAACTTCTAATGTAAGTGAACTTAAAACAATCTTCACATAAACCCATTATAATAAATGTCATATTTACCTGTGCCCTTCAGCAGAAATATACAGAAATAGAAGTTATCAAACACTAAATTCTAAATTAAATATAGATGAATCCTTACAGCCAAGTTCTTTTTTCCTCTTTTTTTTCTTTGTTCTTTGATGAACAGACATCACAGCAGCTGGTTATTAGGTTGTTTTGGCTGCTATTACTTTAAGAGCTGCCGCTGCTGAACGTGACGCGGACCTGACACGCATTATATTTTCTCTCAACTCTCTTTAACTTTTCTAACCCACTTCGGGTCTTAAAGTCTCTAATAATGAGCTGACGAGTTAAATCGGGTGTGTTTGATGAGTGAGACAGTGCTGGGCTGCTCCAGGACGGTTTTGAAAACCATTTCAGAGACATCTTAAATGTGACTCATATAAAATATATTACATGCATGCCGTTTTAAGGCAGCATAAATCACCTTTTTGGTAACTTTATGACTTAACTGACCACGACATAGCATGCACATAGTTTATTTCGTGCTTTCATATGAAAGGATACAGGCTACATCGCGCACTGGCGCCTTTGTGCATGCAATTGAAGAGCCAGCGCTGCGAGCACAGTAGCGTTTCCGTGCTCGTTTGACTCGCACCTGGCGCTGAAGTGAAGAGGAGCGCGCGTCAGAAACGTCTCCCGTTCTCAGTCGTTCTGTGACTGAATAAATGCACTTCTTGTCAAGAGAAAAAGTGACAGAAGCAGCAGTTGTGAGTGGGGTGGCCAACCCTAGCCCTGCGTTAAATATATTTTACGCGTTAAACTAAAAAAATGAATCGCCTGCGTTAACGAGCTAATTTTGACACCACTATTATATATATATATATATATATATA